TGCTAGTGCCAGGGACAATCATCATTTGGAGGGAGATGTAGAATATTATGGAATTTTTACGGACATTATTGAGTTGGATATTATGGAAAATGAAAGATTTTGTTGTTTCGGTGTGATTGGGTTGATGTAAACAATACTCGAGGCATAAAAAGAGATAAATTTGGTTTTACAATGGTGAATTTCTCTCGATTAATTCACACTGGTAAACGATTGATGTATGAGCCGTATGTATTTTCTTCTCAAGTCAAACAAGTTTTTTACTATCACGATCCAATGGATGAGGGTTGGTATGTTGTGCTCCGTAATACCTCCAGAGACTTGATAGACATCGGGAATGGAAGTAGAGATGACATTGAAACAAGATCAGAATCTTTACCTTTTTTAGCACAAAACTTAGATGAAACTATCAATAATACTACACAATTTCAATGGGTTCGGGAGGAGATTTTATATCTTAATTTATTAATTTATAATATTATAACTTATAACATGTTATCCTTCAATATATTCCTTAATTGAATTATTTTCTAACTAAAATTGTTGTTTGTTTATTACAAATATCATGCCCAAGAGAAAATTAAGTGACTTGCAGATTTTTCGAGCTTCTCAAGAGGAGGAACAAACAAATAATGAGGAATCGACTACTGTTGACTCTACGGAAGTTCCTATTACTATTAAAGAAACAGTAGAAATTGAAGGTAATGTCCGACACTTTCTTTAATTGTTGGTTCATTTTGAAAACTTACATTTAATTATTTCTTATATAGTTGAAAATGACTGAACATGTAAGACTAGAGGACATACAACGTTTAAGGTATTATATCAACTTCCTCCTGGGCACCGTGTGAAAGTTTTAATAAATGATGTCGGTTAACCTATTGGCCCAGAAGCACGTGTTCTATCCGGTTACTTAGGTATGGTTGCACGTAATGCTAATCTTTTACCAATCAATTATGAGTCATGACGTGAAATGCCAAATAGTAACAAAAATCATGCTTTGGATTTTATTAAGGTAATAATGTCATTATAATAAACAATCCATAATAGTTCAATAGTAATTTATACTTTGAACACTTATGTTATTTGTAGGAGAAATTTTCTTTAGAGGTCTCAGACGATTATTTGAAGCAAGTGTTAGGAAAGAGATGGAGAGACCACAAGAGTTCATTAGAAAAGAAATACTTCAAGAATGATCTCAGCCTTGAAGAGAAGCTACAAACGTCCCACCTGGAATGCTCAGGTATCAATGGGAAGATGCAGTCAGGTTTTGGAGTTGAGAGAAAGGACATGTATGATGTATTTTTCAAAAATAATCTAATGTCATTATAATATTGACTTTATAAGTAAATAATTCAAATTGTAGGACCGAGAGCATGTTGGTGTTGCTAGCAGACAACAACAAAAGTTTACTCACATAGCTGGATCGAAGAGCTTTGCTTGTATAGCTAATGATGAGGTATTTTTGATTATACACATAGTGATTTACAATTGGTAACACATACTAACGAAAATTAATTATATTATTAATTAAGTTTTTTCAAGACTTAATTTTTCTTTTACATTGTAGGAGAATACGTCTGGTTCTAAAGTTGGACGAATAAAGTTCTTCGACATGACACATACAAAAAAGGATGGCACTCCTTTGACTGATGAAGCTGCAGAAATTATGGTACATTTATTGGACACATGATTTGAATTATGTTATATTTATATATATATAGTATGACATTCTTATTTAAAATAATTATTGAATTGATTATTAGGAAAAATTGAGGGATAAAAAGACAGAGTATGAAGCTACGGTTTCTAGTCATGGTATTGTTAATGCGAATGACATCGAAAATCAAGTTATTAATGAAGTTTTGGGTCATGAAAGATATGGTTGGGTTCGCTGTCAAGGATCATTCGTTACTCCCACAAAATATTTTGGATCTAGTTTATCTCAATACATGTCATCACAGAGTCAATCTTCTCAATTAGAAGTTGGTCGTTTGAAACAACAGTTGGTTGAAATGGATCAAAAAATGGCTAACATGAAAGCCGAAAATGAAGCGAGGGAAGCAGAGAGAGAAACAACATATCAGCAAAAATGTCAAGAATTTGAAAATCGACTTGAAGCTATGATGCAAATGATACGAAAAAACCAACCTCAGAATACACCATCTTAGGTCTTATTTTTTATATATGTTTTGTTCATTCTAGTTAACAATGTTGAACTGCATTATATTTTACGTTAATGTTAAGTTTGATTTATTATAATGGATTTAAAGTTGGTTGTTATGGATGCTATGTTTATTGGATAATGCTACAGGTTAAAATTTTAAATTTGGGTAACAGAAAAGCGAGAAACACCCTTGGAAAAATATCTGTTAATTAGCGGCATTTGTATAGCAAACGCTACTAAATACATAATCAATACCAGCGTTTTAGAAAAAAATGCCACTACAATTCTAGATCATTTGCGACGTTTATAAAAAAGCCACTATAGACACAGTGAATTGTGGCGTTTTAATTTACAAATGCCGCTATATGTCACAACCTTTACTGGCGCTTTTGGGAACAAATGCAACTATATGTCATAACATTTAGCGGCGGTTTTTTACAAACGCCACAAAAGAAAAGGATATATAGCGGCATTTTTCAACAACGATGCTAAATATCATAACATTTAGCGACGTTTATGGAAACAACGCTGCTAAAACTCGTAACCTTTAGAGGCGTTTGTAGACAAAAAATGCTGCTACCTTTTGCGGTGTTGGTTTTAGCAACGCTTTTGGCTACGTTTTTTTCTTTGTCACAAAGGTTTTTAGCGGCGCTTAAAAATATCGCTATATAACCGAAAAAAAGACATTAAAAATCTATTTTTCTATAGTAATAGGGAGAGAAAATGAATTGAAGAATTAAGGACTTACTCTTTTTATAAAAGGGCTTAACATTTTTATGAAATGATTTAATCTTTTCATGAAAAAAATTATTAATATGTATGATTGAATGAATATAATTTTAAATAAAAAATTAAGTCTATTAACCAGATGATATTACTTATTATTAATTAGTTACAAATAGTATCTTACTTTTCCAACCTAAACCAGCAAAACAATCGCTGTCAAAGTTGCGAAGAAGGCCTCTGACAGTACCATGATTGCTCGTGGAATTGAAAGCCCCATCGGTATTTAACGTGATCTATCCCGTAAGGGCAGACTGCCATTGAATTTCCTTGGACTGGTTAAGCATATGGGGGCTCGAGTAGGAAGGATGGATCAATCCTCAATTTGATGTTACATCAATTGGTTAGTCTTCAATTTACCCCCTTTCGTGGATCAATCCTCAATTCAATGCTACAGCAATGGGTCAGTTGCAATTGAATTGATGGTACCAACGCTAGCACACAAGGACACGGTGTTATTAAAAGTCTTGAGGAACTTCGCAGAAAGCACATACTAAAAGGTACATGGACCGTACATGTACATATTCAATAATAACCCCCTTTCAATTAGTCAGCCGTCCAAGTATTTATTTTGTATTGTCCTCTAGGTTTTAAGACTTCGTCTTAATTAATCCAGAATGATCCGTATCGCACACATAGTTTTAGTAAGTGAGTATTTTAACATAGATTTTTTGCATATACAATGACTTAAAACTCGATACATTGCTTAAACTATATCAAACTACTTACCACTTAAACTAACTCGTATTGGTGGCCGTCCAAGTATTTAAATTGCTCTCATTTTCATTATTTTCTATTTATATTTTATTTAATGGTCGGTGAAGATATTTTCACAGTTTTATATTAATAATTATATATTAATGTAATCGTCTCGTAAATAGACTTATTTAAATTAATGTTCAAAATGATGAACAAAATCCCTTTGAAAAATATAATAAAATGAATGAATTAAACATTTTATGATAATCAAAGATTGATGCAAGTGGCTCAACAAAATGGACCCAAATTTAATAAAGTCAATGCAAATGTGAGGAAATAAATACAACAAACTTCCGATTATTAAAAGTTATAAAATGATCGTCGACTATTTATTATGTTTCAAATTAATATTTTTTTGTTAAAAATTTAACAGTATCCTGAGCTGAACGTTAATATATTAAATATAATAAAATTTGTCTCATAATCTAGAGTGATTACAATATAGTATCATATCGACAGCCTGAACTGTATGTTAATCATTTATATTTTTTTCATATTTCAAAAAAAAAATCATATTGATATCTAATAAAATGAATCATTTTAATATTTAATTTTAACACTAATATATTTGAGTAAAAAAAAGCCACAAATGATTGTACTATAAGTACTTGACCGTACGTTTATCGTGCCGAGTGCTTTCAATTATTTGGTAGGAATCAGTGGACCATATATTTTGAAGTACCAATATATGTAAGTACGATTATATATTATATGTAATTATATATATATATATATATACACACACACATTAGAATATATTATTCAATATTTTGAAACATGTATTTTACAATATTATTCACTCCATCCTTAATATTTTTCCTAATACAATCAAAACTATGTTTGCAACAACAATGGAATAAGAAGAAACACACAGAAATAGCTAAAAAATGGGAAGCCAGGGCAATCAAATGAGACATTTCTTCGTAAACCAATCGAATGATCACTTATTTATATAATATTTTGATCTGATTATTGATATTGATATAATAATTTTTTAAATTATATTGTTTAATTATTTAAATAATATAAATCAATTATATGTCGTTATCTAATGGAAATGACGTGAGAAATAAAAATTAATATAATTGCATATTTAATTTTTATTACTTATACATTCTATTAAATGAGGACGAAACGATGATTCTAGGGAAAGGAAAAAGAGAGTGTTTTTAGTAGGTCTAGAACTCATAACTCAAGAAAAAAAAATGAGGAAAGAAAAATGAACAAGTTTACCTACCGACCAAATTTATTTAGTATTTACTCCAACCATTAAGTTACCATACATGTGCTTCACTTTTTTTTATGTTGGAAAAAATTAAGAATTAACGGAGTGCAACATCATGTGTTTGAATTCTTGAAAATCAACCATGCCGTCCATGTTGGTGTCGTAAAACCAAATCATTTCCCTGCAATCTTTGCCACTCTTTTCGTCCCACAAACCAAGTCTTCCCAACACCTTCTCAAGCTCCTCACATGAGATGAACCCATCTCCGTTCAAGTCAAACACCTTGAAAGCCTCCGCCAGGTCACCGTCTTCGTCCCCATCGCCACCGTGTACGACCAATTCTTCCTCCTCGTCATCATCGCTCGATGTTGAAGGATTACTCGTCGCCGTCATCGTCGTCGGGTTGGAGATAGAATCGTAAAAGAACAAGAAGTCGTCGAAGTTCAAGCAGGGTTTTCCGACTAAGGGCTCCAGTTCTTGGAGGCTAAACTGGACTGATCCGATTCTCTGGAGCAACCAGTTGAGCTCCTCCAGGCTAACAAAGCCATCGCCGTTCTTGTCGAGCTTCTCGAATATCCGTCGCAAATCGTTCTTGCTGAGGGGAGACATGTAGTCGGAGAGGATATCACCACCACCAGTAACATGATGAAATGTTGAAGCTTTATTATTTAGGGTTTCTTGCAAATATGATGATGAAAACATATTGATGAAGAGGCTGGGGGTTGCTTTGTATTCAGATATGCGAATGGCTGAAGAAAGTTATTCTTCTGATTTTAATTATTGCCATTTATATGGTACAGAAATAGCTAAGCAAGCTTCCAAGAAGTTTCATGGAATGTATATTTTTATAGATAAAGATAGATTTTTTTTACTTTAGTCTTATCATTCAAATATTCCTTAAAGTTTGATAACTTAGCTTAATTAAAAAAAATCAATTTCCTATATTTAACTTTTCGGATTAGCTCGATCTCGCCTCTATAAACATACGAGAAATATTTAGGAGTGATCAATCGTCGATTTAGTCAAGTGATTGAATCAAATTATTTAAAATTTATTAATATAACTTTTTGTCTTTTTACTGTCAATTGAATTGAAATTTCTAAGAAAAAGTTTAACCGGATCGAACAAAATTCGTATTAACATAATTAATTGAAATTTATAAATAATATATATGTAATATATTATTTTTTTAATAATTTAAATTATTTTATTAATTAATTGATTTCAATCCGAATTAATTGATAATTAGGATTTAAAAAATAATTAATTGATAATTGACTAAACCTAAAATTAACTGATTAACTAATTTTTTTTATTTGATCAATTAATTCGAATTAAATCGAAGTTTAAATACCCGTAGGCGCATCCGATGTAAACTTTCCAACAACTCTCAACTGAATCTAGAAGAGAGAATTTAAATTTAAAATAATATTAATTAATAAAAATTGTAATATAATACAAAATAATTAGTGGTGAAAGAATATTCCCAATAACCCATTTTGGGTCAGTGGTTGTTGGTGTAACACGTTTCCTAGACGAAATGGCCCCAAATATTTGTGGACCCACTGTTTTGTGTTTTTCTTTATGCTTCAAGCTTGATGGGCTAATAAACTCTTTTTTTATTCTCTAGTTTTAAGGTTTTACCCTAATTAATTCGGATTGATCCGTATCGCATACTTAATTTTGGTGGATGAATCTCCTAACAAGAATTTTTTGCATACGCAATGACTCGAATTCGTATCTTACTTAAACGATATCAAGTTGCTTATCACTTAAACCAACTCATTTTGATCGATTGACTATTAATTTATTAATAGATTTTAAAATTTCTAACTATAATCATTTTATTTAATAATGTTTATAGGTACAATAATAGTAATAATTATATATAATTTTAGTGAATATAAGTTCACTCTTTATACTAAAGGACGAACCCTATAAAACCACCTATCAACGCCCCTGTAAAACCACCTTTGCAACATTAACCCTATCAATTACAAATATCTCAAAAAGGATTGCATCACAAATTATCTATTTCGAAATTTTATAGCTCAAACTATAGCTCATGATATCACTTGTTAGGAATTTGTAAGTGAAAAAATAATTGAAACTATATTAAAATAAAATAAGGCATTAAAACATAAAAGATTTAACGTGGTTTGACCTTACCTATCTTTACAGGTGAAGAATAATAATTCACTATTAATGTAGAGATCACAAATGATACAAATCTATGATATCACATGTATCTTAAAATATGATATCTATACGAAGTATCTTAACTCACTCTCTCAATATCCCTACAAAATCATATTTGCAACATAAACCTCAAAAGTTACAGAGATCTTGGAAAAAATTATATCACTCAGAAATAATTCTCTCATAATTCTAAAGATTAAAATATACTTTCTATTTATAGAATCAAATACTTAGTCACCAAAATTTTTTTATAAATTAATTAAATAAATATAACCACAAAATAATCTTTAACCAATAAAATTATAATAAAATTAAACTTAAATATCAATTATAATTTTAGTCGAAATGTAACATTATAATGCCGCATTCACCTGGAAGTATATTATTATTTTCACATAAAGTTCACCAACATTCATATATATTGAAACTGAGGTGATTTAACGACAAATCAGATAGGTGAAAGTTGAAGAGTCTTCAGCCTTTTCGTCGAGATTTAAGCATCCTTTTATAAAACAAATGTCATATTCAAGCTCCGAGCAATGAGGCAAAATCACCCACGAAATTTGGGCCCAAAAGGCCATTGTCGAGAAATTTTTTATAATAATTACAAGTAAAACAAATTTTCAATATAAATATATATATATATATAATTTAAAATATATAATAATTTTAAATTTTCGGAGAACAACTGTCATACTCTTCAATGCATATCTGAATATATAACCATCTTATATCACTTTTCTTGACAACAATTTTGACCATTGAAACTATTTCAACTATTATAGTTTAGACATGGTTTACATTCATTCACTCACATATTATTTTTCTAGGATTTCGATTCAAATTTGGAGCATTTTCAATTGGTTTATGAGACATGGCTATATATGTATGTAAACATTCAAGAGTCGAGAATCCTTCGCTATATACGTAAAGTATATGAGCGTCTAGTTGTTTTAAATAATTTCAAACATACGTGTATCCACTCTAAAAATATTTTTAGATTCATCACCGACTCTAAAGGTAATTAACATCCCCTTAACGTAATTCTTGACATACTTATATGATTAATCATAACTCAAATATATTATATAACAGTCATATCTATAAGTATTGTTAGTCTTATATGTTGCTTCTTCGTGGATCCATCCTCAATTTTACGTTACATTTTTCATTTTTTTTTCTTTTCTATTGAATTGCTGATTTCAACTCGAGCAGACACGTGGTGTTCTTAACAGTCTTGAGGAACTTCGCAGAACATACCAAAAGGTACAGGATCGTACATATATATTTAATAATGACTGCTTTCATTTTCAATATATATATATATATATATATTATTTAATGGTCGACGAAGATAGTGTCACCTTTATTCTATTAATAATTATATATTTTAATGTAAATCATCTAGTAAATAAACTCATTTAAAATAATTTTCAAAACAATAAACAAAAATTCTCTTAAAAAATAAAACGAAAGCAGTCGACATTTTAGAGTTAATAATAATCAAAGATTGATGCAAGTGGCTCAACAAAATGGACCCAAATTTACTAAATTCAATGCAAAATGGAGGAGGAATAAATAAAACAAACTTTCTTTTTTTCCCTTCCAATTCTAAGGCTTCGTCTTGATTAATCTGCATTGATCCGTGTCACACACCTGACTTGGTGGGTGAGTCTCCCAATAAGAATTTTTTACGTACTCAAGCAGCTTAGCACTTGAACCAAGCCCCGTTGATCAACAAACTTCCTAACTAGGGTTAAAAGAAATATTTTAGTTTATTAGCCCTTTCATCTTGAATCCACGACCTTATTTATTTAAAATCTTAAACATTGAATTATAACCTCTAAATAACAATTTAAAAAACAATTTTTAAATTTTTAAATCTAAATAAGACACATTCAAACAAGTAAGATTGTGAATCTAAATTTTACACAATTTTAATTTATATATCAAAATTTTGGGATATAATACCTTTCAATTGAAAAATAAATAAATTAAAAATTATAAAATTATTTATTTATATCAATTAAATCTTAATTTAATTGATATAATAATAAAATTTAATTTTAACGTGAAAATATTGGTTGCCGCACTCTTTAAACGTATTTATTTTTAATTATTTTTTGTGGTTGATTTGTTTATTGGTCACCATGAAAGAATCACGAAAATGCGGACATTAATGAAGTTGACTTTAATAAAAGAGGATAAATGGTGTAAAAGTCTAATATAGATTCTACCATGGTTTTTAGAATCGGATCGGTTAGCGAATCGGCCATGCTATCGGTTCACTGGTTTAATCGGTCGAATCGGTTCGACCCGTCAGAAGAACCGGACGATGTCATAATTATTTAAAAAATTAAATAAAAATACCAAAAATATTTAATAAAAAATAATTTTTATATCACAAGTCATATTCAAAGCAAGTCATAACATATATAAATTAAAAACCATAAAATTAAGTGAAACAAAATGATTCAAATTAACTACAACATAATATTTAAGGTAAAACATATTAAATAATAAATATAATTATATAACTATAATTAAAAAATAAATTTGGGGCTAAAAAAATCATAACAAAATGATATTGTTTGGTTTAATTTTTTTTTAAACAATCTCACATGGCTAAGAAACATAAAAGAGCATCCCAAAAATCTAAAGAGTAAAAATATGAGAACAAAACAATCCCACATTGCTAAGAAACATAGAAGAGCATCACAACTAACTTCTATAAATAATAGTGGTAATTTGACATTCAAAATCATGGAGCCTTTTGGTGAGCATTGAGTGAACTATTCTTTCACTTCAATCAAGCTCGAATTTTAGGCTTCAATTGAGCTTCTAAATTTTTTTTTAGTTCAAGCCTTTTTGAGTTCAAGTTTCAATATTATATTTCGAGTTCGAGTTGAACTTGATAATTTTTAACTTGTGAGTTTGAGTGGAGTTGAGCTTATTTAAAGTTTTCAAGTTCGAGTCGAGCTCAGTAATATTCGAGTTCGACTTGGCTCGTTTAACAAACGACTTTTGGTTTAATTTTTAAAAAAAAAAACAAAATTTTTGGTTTTTTCCGGTTTTCAACCGGTTCGGTTCAAATAGTTCAGCGGTTCTGCCCGATTCACTAGTAGCGGTTCAACCGGTTTAGATTAACCGGACTAGGCAACGGTTCCCGGTTGAACCAGTTGAACCGACTGATCCGGTCCGATTTTCAAAACAATGGATTCTACCAAAGAAGTGGGCATTAAATTTCGGTTTGGTGTAATATTTCTATGGGTAAACTACAAATTTAATCATTGAACTTTACTCTCTCTCCTATTTTGCTCAATGAACTTTAAAAGTTTCCAATGTCCTCAGTAAACTTAATACATTGGATTTTTTGGTCAGTGAACTTTACTATCTCTCCTATTTTAGTCACTACGCTGTTAAATAGTTAACGGCGTTAAAAACGATGTCATTTAAAAAAACAAAATTTTTACCAAAACGACATTATTTTGCATAAACATAACATCCCATTTTAACGCCATTAACTGTTTAACAGCTAAATGACAAAAAAAAGTCACATGTATCAAGTTCAGTGAGGAAATTGAAAAGATTTAAAGTACAATGAGTGAAATAGAAGATAGAGTAAAGTTCAGTTACCAGATTTGTAATTTACCCTATTTTTATTGGGGGCATAAATGTTAGTAATTGATATAATATAGTATATGAATTCTAATTTAATATAATTATACATATAGTTGTAATTTTGATTTAATTATAACTATAAAATTTTAATTTCATTTTAACTGTATATAATTTAAAATAAATAGATTTATTTATTTTTATGTTAAACAAATACAATTATGTATACATATAATATGTACACTTAAAATTAAGCTACATTAATAGCATGATTAGTGATGTATAAAAATCCAATATGTTGAAAACATTTTGATGTTTCGATATAACAAATTAAGTGTTAATGAATTTTAAGATTTTATATTGAATTTTAAATTATATATTCGATTAAATTATTCAAATATCAAAATATTACTCCAAGTTTTTCAAATGTCGATTTCAATCCTTACTCAAGTGTAAGATTTTGTTTTAATCTTAAAATATATTTTTAAACAAATTTTACAAAGTATTTCGAGCCTTGATCGAGCCAAAAATATTTTCTTTTTAAAGGGCTTCAAGAAAAACCAGATTGCAAAGAGGGAACAGATTCCCCCCCAGGTTTTTGGCTCTGAGAGAAAACAGAATGTCCAAAGGGTACCGATTCCCCCCAAGGGTACCGATTCTCCCTATGTAATGATCGAAATATTTGAATTTTACACTGCAGGAACTGATTCCCTATGAGAGGGTACTGATTCCCCCCACGCTCCAAGCTGTTTTATTAATTGATTCTCATCCCCAAACGGCTCCAAAACATCTCCAACGGCTATATACGACTTCAAACACATTCCAAGCTATAAATACAAGCTAAGGACACTTGAAGAAGTAAGAGAACAACTATCCAAGCAATCAAACATAAGAGAAGAGTTTTTCATTCTTATTTCATCTTTCTCTTGTAAATATTTTGTTCTTGTGAACTTAATTCTTGTAAACACCTACCTTAGAGAGGTTTTCTTGTTTACATTTCTTATCCTTTTGTAAAGGTGAAAGGTTCTAGTTCAACCTGGAAAAACTAGGGAGTTGTAAGGTTATCTCTTTGTCCTCAAAAGAAAGAACAAATTAGTGAATTTGTTGGAAAATCCTTGGTGATGAGCTAAGGTAGTTGACGTAGACTTTGGTTGAGAAAGTCGAACCACTATAAATCGCTGTGCAATTCCCTATCTTTCAATCTCCTTACTCTCTAAACACAAAACCATTCCGACTCCTCTTTGCAAACCGTTCCGGTTATCGATTCGAGCTTCCGAAAATCCCAACACAATAAAATCAAATTAAAATCTTATATATTTATATGAAACTAAAGTTTAAACATCATATTTTATATTTTGATATATAATTTTGATATTTTATCAAATTTTACTGATTTTCATGAAAGAATCACAACAAATTTAAACATCAATGAAATTGACATTAATAAAAGGGGAGTAAATTTATGAAAAGTATAATCTAGGCCGCACTGCAAGTATTTAGATAGTAGGGTGAGCGTTGGATTGAGTCGAGTAAAAAAGTTTCGAGTTATTTAAGTTGACGGGTTTTAATTTATAACTCAAAGTTGACTTGAAATTTTTTCGAGTCGAATCAAGTTTATAAAATTTGAGTCTAGTTGAGTCGAATTTTGAAGTTTCTGTTTAAATTTAATTACAAATATTTATAATATTATGATATTATTTGATTCCAATTTAAATAGATTCTTATAACCATATGTGATATACATGTGCTGGAACCATATACAATACTTTTTTTATGTTGGAATAAATCAAGAACTAACAGAGTGCAACATAATGATAGAGAACTAATCAGGAGAATAATATCAAAAAGTTTCTTACCATAAATACATGTTTTCATTTTCAGTAGCTTAGAGGGGTGTGAGTCCCAAATGTTGTGTGAACTACACCATGATGCCTACATATACTTGTGTGTTAGATGTATTTGTGTCGTTAATGAGTATACTTGCTAGCATGCTCATATGGTGAATGCATGTTGTATAGTAGAGTTATTTGTGTGGAACTGAGCTTATAAACTCATCGTTCGAAATGTGTTTTCATTCGCAGGTTCGTAGGTGAGTAATTCGAGGAGCTTATCCTCGCAATTGTGGTTCCAGATCGGATCGAGCTATCAAAGTACATAGGTAAATCACCCCAAATCAGTCATGAAAATCTTCAATGGGTAGATTACCCTTTTAGTCCATCAACTCTTAAACTCTCATAAAAATCTCCTATTTTAAAGTCTAATTGGGCCCAATTCTCACTCCCAAATAAGACCCAACATGCCTCAAGACTCCAATTAAGATCCTATACCGACCCAAGGCTATTCAGGTCAACTCATTGATTCATAAATTCGAGCCGTTGCATTTTGGATTTCCCTATTTCTTTGAAGTTCCAACATTGTCATGTTTTTCAAAAAATACATAGACACAAATTAATGATATTTTTACACATTTAAATAAAAATAGAATCATCTAAGTGCCCTTTCCTGTTTCAAAGAGACAGGTAAACCAGGAAGAATACCCTCAAGAATTATACAAGATTAATGAAGGACCAGAATATGTGTCCCACGCCTATCTAATCGTAGACATAAGATTTAATCATTTTAATATATGAACTTAGAAGAAAAGTACGTGTAGATTTCAAAAAAAATAATCTGTATATCATCATTTACTCATATTCCACGATCATTTCTTATTCCAAATAACATAGCTTTAATTATCTTACAAAATTTCATTAACACCTCATTCACTGCTAAAGGGAAAGAGACTACATTCCTGCTATCAGTTACCTAAACATTTGACAGAATAATCAAATTCACGGTTTTAAGATGAACTTGCCAGGTTGACTGTAGGTTTCCTCCAATTGCTCCTTCTTGTCGATTCTGAAACCTCGGATCCTCAGTTCCTCCGGGAAACCAGCATCTTTGTAGTCTATTCTCTCAATGAGCCATCCCTTGTTCTGTATCGGTCCTCCAACTTTCACCTATTCCAGAAACCATATTGTTATAATATTATGCTCCAACCAAACTGAGCTGGTAACCCGAACAAAAATTGTCCATCAGTCACTCAAAAATCGACTTCCACATTTACAGACATGGAGCCAAATAATAAAGCTAGAAAACATGTTGCAAGAGTATGCGAGGTAAAAGATTAAATGAGCACGTGTCTACAGTAGATTTATCAATCAATGGCATACCTCTGCACCATCAACAGAATTGATGATAAGAGCTCCGTCCATGTGTAGATCTTCAAGAAAGATATCACGGCCCTTAAGGGCCATGGTAGACCTTTGAGAAATAGAGCAACTTCCACTAACTTTGCTTTTGATCTCAGCAAAAGTCATCCCCCATTTAGGCTTCCAAGTAACACGCGGCCACACTTCCACCTCTTGCCCGTTGAAAACCTGTTGCACTGGATCCTCCACTTGGACACCCGCCTAGCAAGCAGATAAAAAGTGGAAACAAAAAGATTCAACGATATGACGAGAGATAGAATGGAAGTGAACGATTCGAAAGAAAGAAAATCTAGAGATGGAGTTTAGCAAAAGAACAAGAAGCTCACCTTCTTAAGGATGAGACTGTTCGCACGATATATGGCCATTTCACCGGAAGTTGCACTGTGATATGGGTTCCCTTTTGGAACCTTAGCAGCTTCCTCAGGGTTATTTTTCACCGGTGCATAAGCAAGCCATGTATCCATCACCTACACAATTTTATTACATCAGGTTAATGATGAGTAGTAGCAAATTCATTCACAGAATCACAAGAGAAGCTGGGTCCTATAGGATGTAAGACAGGAAGTAGGGTCTATTAAGATGAAAAAAATATCTAAGTGCAATAATACGAAAGGATTGGAACTGCCCATTACCGTGAATCCAACTCTTGCTGATGGAGGCAATGTTTTAGGATAGTCTTGCATCATACACTCTAGTCGAGTTGAGGACTTAAATGATGTTTTGCTAGCATCTTTATACCTGCAGTAACATAGGGCAAAACATATGACAGTTACTCGCTTTCTTCTTTACATGCAACTAAATATATGAAACAGAAACATAAGTTTCTGGTGAACAAATTACTTGGGGTTCACAAATTCCTTAATAGCACCTCCTGTTTTGGTGAGCTCCTCGATATATGGACCAAGCTCCAAAATCAACTGTAAAACAGACAGAAGAAGAACAGGAGACGGAGAGAGCAATTAGACAATGAATGGAGAATTTTCTACATATGGATAAGAGACTACAAAACATAAAATGGAAGGGGGGATCAAAGTCGATGAATATCACAATGTTAATGAAGGTTTCAACAGGTGTATAACTTTGTAATTTTGGTACTCCCAACCATATCAATTACAAAAGTAAACAATCCCCGCTATCATCCAATATGGAAATTTGATAAAACTTTTCAAAGGTTCATCTACTTTATTCATCACACTAGAGTAGACATCGTTCTAGAAATGAAACATCTAAATAATGATTGAGCGGGAAAAATTACTTGGTTTATATTTCCTGGAAAAGGAGAATAACCGGTCTCACAATTAACATCTCCATCAGGATGTCCAGTGGCTCTAAGCAGAGGATCAAGCTGATTGTATTCCACATTGATCACCATCGATCTCCCTGGAGTTAGTTTCATGGTGCATTACTAATAATGAAAGCATAAATCATAGGATCTTTTTTTTCCAAAATTACCTATCACAGAACAGTTGTATCATGTATGTTATATGATACAATTTATACAAGAAAATGGAAGGAGATGGTGAGAAAAAGAGGCAATTTGCACAATCCTTTACTGTCAAAAGAACTTTAACATGTACAACCACAAAGGGGGGAAATGACACTAAAATAATCAGAAATTACTGAATTTTAGACCTCATTTTAGTTGAATGTTATTATCCCTGGAGAAATAGGTTAATAAAAACATAGGCAAAGCTAGCTTCCAGGAATTAGAGTTTCTGTCCCATATATATGTACCATCACTATGAGTGAGTTTAGTGATTCCTCCAATGACTTCTTTTGCTTTCCGTGGAACAGCAAGAGAGTTGACATGGTACTCTTTAGTTGCACTGACACCCAGAGATGCTGGAATTGCCTACATAGTAATAGTAAATTTTTATTCTACAAGTTTTGATATAATAAAATTATATACAAAATCATGGAAGTTTAGATTCTAACCTTGAACAGAAGTCCATTAGTATCTTGGAAAAAGATAACCCATCTCAAACCGGAATCATGCCTAGCAAAAGTGAAGATAAAAATTCAACATGGTGGAATATAAAAAGAATTATCCATTAAACCAATTTCCATAGACTGACAATTGACCTTTTAATGCAACGTGACTGACCTAGCATAAATAAATTTCAAGACAATTATGTTGAAGGAACATTAGAAAATGGAATACTTAGAAATGTTGGTGTATGATGGCTAGTTAAGAGAGTATTTACACGGAAGTTAAAGCTTAATGTGGGTTTGGAACCAACATTTTTGTGTCTTACTACCATAAAGAGAGGCCAGGGCAGACACAATCACATAATTATCATCATATAAGGAGTTTCTGTGTCATTAAAAAATGAGTTTTTGACAACAGGCAACATCTAGAAAAAACTTGCAGACATGAAAAGAATTTCTAGATTCCAGACATCAGAAGCAGTCTGAACATTTGAGAGACATACCATACTTTCAGAAGCCCGCTGGAAAAAAGGAGTGAGTGTACATCACCATGGCCATGAGGTTTTGTCTAATAAGGCAAGAAAAGAGTTAATAGAAGAACCTAATAACTTTAGCAATCAAAACATAACCATGCTTTCCATACAGCTTTTATGGAGGCTACCTGAATTTTGTATTTGTTATGAGGGTCCAAAGCAAGGCTAGCATCATTATCATCTAAGCATGCAACTTTTTCCTGCGAGTAAATATGATGAGGTAAAGCACCTTACAACAGCTTTCTCAAACCACACATCAATGAGAGATTACGTACCTGCTTAAGAAGTTTAACTTGTGCAGATTTCATCCCAAAATAAGAATTTGATTCTAAAAGGTCCAACGTACGGCCGTGTGTGTCATCTGATGTCATGATAACAAAAGGAATCTCTTTTTGACATGTACCTAAATTTAAGACACGCACACTCAGATGGAGATTGAGAGCAAACGAAGTGTAAAATGCAACAACCAATACGATATTTTGTATAGAAGGCTAAGAGGTTTTTCTTTTCCAAAAGTTAGAGCACTAACCAATTGCCGATGCATTTCAACAAATGAAATAGACTACTACGTAGGGCTGTAAATGAGACAAGTCGAGCTCGAGTATTGCTGAGCTCGACTCGAAAACTCACGAGCTTAAAATTATCAAACTCGACTTGACTTGAAAGCTTGCAAGCTTAAAAGTTTTCAAGTTCCACTCGAAATCAAAAATTGAAGTTCGACTCGAACCTGAACCTCAAGTACATGAAAGCCTTATATTTTATTTTTATTTTTATTTTGATAGAAAATTATGCCTCATTAAAAACCCTCTAGTTGCCCTCCATATTACAATAGTAATATGAAGAACAAACGAAGAGGGAAAAGAGTGCCTAATACTTTTATTAAGCAGGAGAATAATACACTACCATCCCTTACATCAATCTTTAAAAGCCTTAATCCTAATTACATAAGACTTAAAAACTTCTTCCTGCAGAAACTTTAACACTAATTACATAAGACAGAAAACAAAATCCCTGCAGAGATGTAAGGGAGTCTAACACCCTAACACACCAAAACATAGCCTAACGATCATCCTATACCATCCTTAGCAAGTCTGTCCACTTCCCAGTTAGCAGCTCTCAAGATTTGCCTTAACATAATATCCTTCCCTTCCATTATAGAAACAATCTCCTTCACCAAGGATAGAAACATAGTGGAGCTTAGTTCCGGGTTCTTGATCCACTTCAAAGCATTACTTGAATCCGATTCTAAAATAATCCTCATATTAAGACCAACTCCTGAATCAGACAACATGTACAACCCCCTCTTTATCACCAATAATTCTGCCATAATCGGAGGTCCTCCCCCAACCTTATCAGAAAACCAGTGAATCAACACACCTCTGTTGTCCCTTATGAGTCCACCAATACCACCTTTATTCCAACCACTCTCCATCGCCCCATCAACATTAATCTTTATGAACCCGTCTGGAGGAGGAACCCAACAAGTAGGTTTGGATCCACTTTTTTCCTGTCTACCGATCGAATCAGCAAGAGTTAAGTCACCCACTAGGGAGTCAACACAGCGTCAAAACTAGCAGCAAACCAAGATGCTATTCGAAATCGAGCAATAAAGAACATCCTCACCACATCCAGCTTTCCTTTAATAAAGATAACCTCATTCCTACATTTCCATATAGTCCACAACACCGCCCTCAAGATAAATTTCCAAATACTGGAATACTGTTGTAGCTCATCCCACATAATAATAAAGTCTAAGATGTTATTAGGGATCACCAAAGAAACATTCCACAAATTTGCAAATCTAACCCACAAACCCCAAACTACCTTACAATGCAAAAAAAGATGAGAAACAGATTCCACAAACCTGCCACACAACGAACATAAAGGGTCTTCAATCCCAACCACTCCTCGCTTCAACAATTCCTCTTTAACCGCCACCCTCTGATGAACGACTTGCCATATGAAAGTTTCAACACGAGGAGGAGCTATCCCGACCCAAATATGTTTATCCCACTTAGCCTGAATCCCCTGATTACCCTCCGTGTCAAAAAAATGATTACTACAAGACTTAGTTGAAAAACAGCCCTCCCCGTTCCCTAACCAAATCCAGTAATCGTCCTCCTCAAGAGATAGTGAGATGTTATTCAATATAGAAATTAGTTGCAACCATTGTTCAATCTCCCAATCCACTAGATTTCTTCTCATTTAAATGTCCCACACCCAGCTTGCTGCATTGTTCACCCTAAACTCCACCACTTTACCCATTTTATTATTCGATAGTGCATACAATCTAGGGAACAGGTCTTTAAGAGAGACTTCTCCCAACCAAATATCATGCCAAAACTCCACAGAATGCCCATTTCCAGCTTTCAAACGCAAGTTTCTCCTAATACAATCTCCAAACTCATCACTAGAAAAGAAGTTATTAATCACACCTCTCCAAATCCAAGAGGCTCGAGCTGTCGAAGTATTCCCCAACATTTTAGAATTCAGATCCAAATTGTTCACACAACAAACCACCCTCTTCCACCAAGAATCTTTTTCAGAGACAAACTTCTAAACCCACTTTCCCATCAGTGCTCTGTTCAGAATGTCTAAATTCAGAATCCCTAGACCCCCCAACCTTCTCGGTTTACTGACCAAATTCCAGTTCACCCAATGTATGTTTCTTCTATCTGTCGAACCCCCCCCCCCATAAAAATGCAGCCATGATTGAATTTAATTTCTGCAACACAGCTTTTGGAATTCTAAAAATAGAAAGGAAATAAGTGGGAAGGGAGCACAACACTGATTTAACCAACACCACCCTACCTGCTAACGCTAAAGAGTTTGCCTTCCAACCAGTCAACTTATTATGAAACCTCTGTACTATTGGCTCCCACATTGCAACAGAGTTTCTCTTGGACCCCAAAGGCAATCCTAGATACTCTGCTAGAAAATTACCCACTGAGCAGCCAATTTCATTAGACCAACCAGCTAACACCTCCTCCTCAACATTTATTCCATAAATTCTGCTCTTGACTAAATTAATCTTCAGTCCCACCAATATCTCATAGATCAGTAAAACCCTTATAATATTCTTCAAATCCCGGATTGAAGCTTTGGAAAAAATAATGTCATCCGCAAACTGAAAATGCGATAGCTTGAAAGAACTTTCTTGAACCCCTAACTCAAAGCTCGAAAACAATCCCATATCCACTGCTTTAGTTAACAACAAATGAAGCAATTCACCACCCAAATTGAATAACAAGGGGGATAACGAGCAACCCGGTCTAAGTCCTTTTTCAGTGCGAATTCTGTCTGTAAGAGTACCATTTAGTAAAAGTGAAATAGAAGCAGTTGACATACACTGATACATCCAAGAGCACCATTTTTCACCAAACCCCATTTTCCCCATTATTTTCAACAAAACCAACCAATCTACCGAATCATGGGCTCTCTTGAAATCCACCTTAAAGACTACCCCCTCCGACCCTCTCTTCCTCCAATAATCAATTCCTTCATTTGCTATAAATGAACAGTCCAAAATATTCCTCCCTTGAATAAACGCAAATTGAGATGGACTAATTATCTCATTAATGCACAAGCTGAGTCTTCTAGCTAGGACCTTTGACAAGATTTTATATAAACCTCCCACAAGGCTAATAGGCCTAAAGTCCTCCATCCCCTCCGGATTATCCTTCTTAGGTATAAGGGAAATAAATGAATGATTCACCTCCAAGTCCCATTCTTTCTCCACATAAAATTCCTTAAAAAACATCATAATATCCTCCTTCAAAGAAGACCAGAATTTCTTGAAAAAACCTAAATTCAGACCATCCGGCCCGGGAGCTTTGTTGCTGTCCGAGTTGACAATTGCTTCCCAAACTTCCTCCTCTGAAAATGGCTTCTCAAGTGCTAAACTCTGTCCTACCGATAGTTTTAGAAAATCCAGATCTAATTCATCAGTCTCCAAAGAATTATTCTGACTAAACAGACCATTAAAAAACTCCACCACTGAAGCTCTAATTAGGATAGGATCTTCTACTACTTCATTACTCACCTTGAGGGACTTAATGCCATTTTTCCTTCCTCTAACTGCAGCACTATGATGAAAAAATCTATTGTTCTTATCACCATCCATTCTCCATTTCAGTCTTGATTTTTGCAACCATATCGATTATTCTTTCTTTTGTAGCTCCCATAGTTCTTTTTTTGCTTCAATTATTGATTTCATTGACACCGAAGGAAGACCTTATTGCATTTCCAATTCCAAATCCTGAATTTCTTTCTCCAATAATCTAATTTTTCCCGGTAACTCTAAGTAACCCCTCCCAGACCAATTCTTTTACCACACCTTTCACCCTCTTCAGCACCTTAGACATGGGCTTCCCTTTTTTCTCTTTACAAAATTTAACTAGCTCCTTCTCCATCATCTCACTAAACCCATCCTCCTCCATTACATAATTAAACAGTCTGAACGGTTTCTGCCCCTAATTACATACTTTGTTCTCTAACAAAATAATATTGTGGTCTGAAACAGACCTTGGCTGCAGTGACTGACTTATCTTTGGAAAACAAGCTAGTAATCTCTGATCAACCAAAAACCGATCCAACCTCTCAAAAGTGAGAGCTTCCCTATTATTGCACCATGTAAAACGACCTCCAGACAAAGGCAAATCAAACAAATTGGCCTTACTCACAAAATCTCTAAACATATTCATTGTTACCGAATTCACAGCCCCTCTTTCTTTCTCTTCCTGTGACAACACTGCATTGAAATCACCTCCTAAGCATAATGGACAGTCAACATTATCCAAAAATGATAACAATTCCTTGAAAAACATCTCTTTATCTGCATCCACACTAGGGCCATACACATTAATAAAACAACAACTTCCTGGTACTCCTTCCAACATCCCTTTAGTTATTACAAATCTACTATTAATGACTACATCCTTCACCACAAACTCCTTCTGATTCCACAAGGTTATTAGACCACCAGCAGAGCCTACAGCAAGAGATATTGCCGAACCAGTAAGTATTTTACCCCCCATTTTCCTTACCAACATATGACTAACAACCTCCAATTTTGACTCTTGCAAGAATACTATTGTAGGTTTCTTCTCATCAACAAATCTCCTAATTGCTCGAGCTTTCACCCTTCTACCCAACCCTCTAACATTCCAAGACAACATCGACCACTCATCCATCAAAAACATACAATAACCTTGCTTCCCAACAACAACTACCTTCCCTCTTTTGGGTTCCCTTCATTAACCATAGGAACCATTTTGTCCATAAAAGCTTTCTGTCCGCCTTTGAACTTCACACCCAATAACTTGGAAACATTCCAACATTCCAAAGCTTCTGTCGCCCCCTCTCTGTCATTCACTTCAAAGGATTCAAGCTCCTTACCATTACAACTCTTAACTTCCCATCTCCTGGAATATACATTCTTATAAAAACCTCTCTCAATTTTACTTAGTGACGCACATTTCCCATAATGACGACTCCTCACCGGTGAGACATGCCCATTCTGCAACTTTAATACAGCTCCTTCAACATTAGTAACTTCTACAGAATTAATGGCAGCAATATTTGATCTTAAATTCCCTTGAACAAGCCCATTTGTTAGACTCCTATCCATGTTGTTACTAAGCCCATTTTCTAGTGCAACTGTGTCCTGGCCCAATATGATATCTCCAAAGTTCCTCTCCTTTTCTCTCCCTTCATTAAATCCTCTGACACTCCCTGTTGACTGTTAACACCACCTACTGCTGTCTCCTCAGAACAAAAGTCAACAACCAACATTTTATTAGCGCCTACTTTTCCTTTCAAATTTTCATCGATAAGCGTATCATCTCCTTGTTGAGCCCCCCGAACCCATGCTTCGACCTTGTCCTGGGAATCTGACAAGGACTGCTGCCCCAACTGCACTTCCTGTCCATCCTGAATATCCCGCTGGCTCCAGTCCGATGAATTCTCCTCCCAAGGATCCACTGTTCCGTTTTCTTCTACCATATCCTCCAAGACTGGAAAAAAATCATCACTCCTTCCACCTTAATTTTAATGGTAAATGATCTTCCATACGTATTGACGAAAACCTGAGAAGGAATATCAAAAGGACTCTCCACCCTCAACAACAAATATGCCTCTACAATCTGTTTTCTGAACTGTTTGCTCCTGGATCTTCACAAGCTTGCCCCATCTCGCTGCCAAGTTTGTAAAGAATGGAACCGTCCAACAATTTAAAGGAACACCTATCAAGGAAACTGTACAATAAGCTAATGGAACACTATTCTCATCCACAACAGATTCCAACCTTTCGAACCAGAAGGACAATTCCTCCCACTTATCTTCCATCGCTGCTTTTTTCTCCTCCACTGAATGGAAAACTATCAAACATGCATTTTTTGCATATCCCCATCTTGCCACCTTGACATTGAAACCTTCAGTCCTTAAAGCCCCCTGCACAAATTCTACTTCAAAAATCCCCTTACAAATTCCTGTTAAAGACGACCTTAGCCATACCCTCTCCTCCATTGGAATAAACACTTGCAGAGACTTTTTCACCTCTCTCTTGTCTCCAACGTTATTCATCTGCTGGCCATCAACTTTTTTCACCCCCAATATTGTATCCTTATATGTCCTACCATCATGAAACTTGTTTAACAGCTCCTTCTTCCCTACATCATCCATTCTGGGTATTGATTTTTTCCTTTTGGACTCCTCTGCACCCGCATCTCTTGACCCCACCACAACATTTCGCTTCAAGTTCCTCGCAGCACTATTCCTCTGATATTTTGCAATCGACACCAATACCCTCCTCCCATCGATCACCACGTTATTCATATGCTCCACTGCCTTCAGCAAATCTTCCTTACTTGCAAAATGCACAAAGGCAAACGTACTGACCTTATAGTTAGGTCTCCTATTAACAAACGGGATAAACACCTTAATCACCTTACCATGAAAACTAAAATGTTTCCATAAAGCACTTCTATGCACTCCCTTACTGAGATTATCTACGAACGCTACCCACGGAACTCCTCTTGACTCTGTTCTACCTCTGTCTAAAGAAGTATTCCTTTCGCACTCCACGTTCACTCTCTCTCTAGCTTTCACACTCATTCTCTCTCTAATCCGAGTTCTTTATATTTTATTTTTTTTAAATGTAAATTTTAATATTATTAATAATTTAATTTAAAAAATCTAAAAATTCAATATATTATTTTTTTTGAGTTGCTCGCGAGCTGTTCGAGTGAGTACCAAGAAGCTCTGTCCGGCTCGTCAAAAATTCAAGTCGAGTCCATTCGATTCAAATGTTAACTGAGCTTTGACCGAGTCGATCTCGAGTGGCTCGCGATCTGTTTCGTCTCATTTACAGCTCTACTACTATGTAGTGATCAATAATCTCCCATTGGCTGCTGCAATCCATGGTACTGAAGGAAAATAAAACTCAAGTCTTTCATGAAGGCCTCGACGAACAAATGAGAAACCACACAAACCTTGTGTGAGCCGATTGCTAGTTTCCTGAAGAGCCATAATAGACTCGATGTACAGTTGTAAGAAACATGTTCCAGTTGTGGTCTCTGCAGGAAGTGCCACCTACAAGGTATCAAGAGTAGCTAGTCAATATTTTGTTTCAGGAGCAAAAATAGTCAAGAGTGTTGGAACTGGTCTATTCAGTACAACACGAAAACTGTGATCAATTCTCCTCAAAAGCAAAATATTAACTGTGTGTCTATAGGTTATATACCTTAATTCTGTTGTAACCAAGGCGTTCACCAAGCCCACCCGCAACAAGAACAAATGCCGAATTTTTGGCTTCTTTGACACCGGCCTCCTCAAATTTGATGAAACTATCATCACCAAGAGAGAGAACTTCTCCAGTTGGGACCTTCCAAAAAAATTACTGTGTTTAAGACAGTTTCATAGAAGATAGTGAAGATAAGAACCTTACACGAGTAAAGAAAACTTTACCTTAATGTCAATTTTGACTAATAATAATATGAATCAAGTTAATTTAAAACAATTGAATATTTATTGCAGTACAACAAATTGTATAAAACTTAAGAAAATTTCGAACTGAAAGAGTGATTTCCTTACAGAAGGTGTGAAGCCATCATATGGGTTCTTTCCAGCTTTCGAGTCAGCTAGGAGCTCCCTAGCGGTTTTAATATATGATGCCAAACCACCAGGATAGCTTGAATTTAGCTTTTCTACCTATATTAAGGAGAAACATCAGTACATATACTCTCGGACATACATTACTGAAAATCATTTAAATACAACTCAAACGTAAACAGTGGACCAAAAGAAAAAAATCTAACTAAAAAAGTATACTGTAGAAACTCAAAAGCTTATAACAAAGACCTGAGAGAAGAAAGCCTTCTTTTGGTCGTCATCGGCGCCAGGATCTGCCCAATGCTGAAACAAATGACTCTGTCCCATCTGCAACAACATCTTCCCCAATTCAATCTGCCAAAACAAAAATAAAATTCACATACACACACACAAGGTATTTGAATCCTGTAACAAGTACGGAATTGGGGACACGTAAGACCTCATCCGGAGAAAGGAGATGGAGATTCTTAACAAGATTAGGAGGCCAATCACCGGCGTTGATGTTGGGGTCGGAGAAAAGCTTCGCCGTTGAATCTGCCGTTGCCATTCTCGCCGGAATTATTATTTTCGAATAAAACTGATTTCTTCTAAATAAGGAATTTTCAATGTCTGCTTAGTATTTAATAACCGTCTAAAGGAAGCACACCTCGATCGGAAAAAGGATTTACAAAGAGTTAAAGTTAAAAGATCAAATTAAATAAAACACAAAATTAAAATAATAAATTACAAAAAGAAAATTTTATTATAAAAAATAATTTGATTTGAGAAGCATATGATCTAAATTTAATCCAAATGAACTTAAAATAATAAAAAATAATATCAAATTATTTAGTTAAGAACAAAACGATGTTGTAAGTTTTGCTTGTTCGATTATTCAAACTTTATAAAATTAAATTTGAATTAAACTCTAAACCTTAATTAAAATTCAAATTTATGTTAATAACTCTACTAAAAAAATAATTCTTTAATCAAGATAAATTTTGCTCACCTTAAGCCTCAATTATATCTTGAATCGAATTAATTTGAATTTTAGAAATCAAAAATAAAATTATTCTATTATAAAATATAAAACTGTTATATAAATAATACTATTGAAATTCTTTATCACTAAATTTAAATATGCTTAGACTTAATGGTGACGATTGGATTGAGAGGAATTGTGTGGAAAAATTTAGAGTTGGTTAAGTTTGTAATTTATTATTTTATATTTAAATTTCATTTGAATTTTTTTTAATGGAGTTAAGTTTTATAAAAATTTAATTGAATTAAATATAAATATTAATTTTTTATTTAAATTTAAATATAATTATTTATAATAGTGTAATATTAATTTATTTTAGTTTAAATGATCCGTTCTAATCACATATAATATGTATATATTTTTATATTATTTTTTATGTATATATATAATTTATCATATTATATAATAAATTAAATATTATCTAAAATTATATAATACATTTATAATATTTTTCAATGTTTAAATATGACCTCATAGTAGTATATGCTCTTTTTTTAACCTCAATAAAACTCATGATGTCATCCACACCTTGATGGGAAAAAGGATTTACAAAGAGATGAAATTGAATAAAACGCAAAATCGAAGTAATAAATTACAAAAAGAAAAATATATAAAAAAGAAATTAAAGTTGTACGTGTATTCTAGAGCGGTTGAGAAGCATGTGATATAAAATTAGCCAAAATAAACTTAAAATGATGAAAAATGAAAAAATAATAACAAATCATATAATAATCAAATTATTTAGTTAAGAACAAAACGGTATTTTAAGTTTTATTTTTTCGATTATTCAGACTTTATAAATTTAAATTTAAGTTAAACTCGAAACCTGAATTAAAGTTCAAATTGACTTTAATAATTCTACTAAAAATAATATTTTAATCAAGATAAATTTTGCTCACTTTTAATTACATTAGTTTTTGTTTCATTTTAATACTCACCGTTAAAAAATTAACAGATGGTCTTGTCAATCGTCGCGTTTATAGTCGTCGGCCATCGCATATGTTTGTTGATGAAGCCCAAACTTTTCAGCCTGTATCTTTTTCAACCCCTTAAACGCAATTCTGACCTCCATTTCATCGAGAAACTTTTCAATATCCCCAAATCGAAGATGGACTCATCGATATCTTTATCCTTTGATCTTCATGGTCCACCGTCCGATGGGCCTCAAACTGGACCATATTGTTCGACTCGTTATTCTCTCATGGTTCACCGTTCAGATTGGTTGTTTGTCTATCGAAGATATGCCACATCAGCCCATCTGTTAAGTTTTTAATGGTGGGATACTAAAATGAAATAAAAATTAAACGTTAGGTATGATTTTAAAAAAGATAAAAGTTTAGCTGTTAAAATATATAAAAATTGATAATTTAGACACCAAACACATAATTTACCCTTAAATTTTTTAACTCTGCCTGTCACTTCCCTTCTCAAGTAAAACTCCACGCTCCACTGAAACAAATCCTAAGATGAAACGAAATTTTAACAGCGATTTTTTTTATTAAGATAAAGTTGATTATAAATATTATATGTTTTAAGTATTTTAAATTATTTAATAATGATTGAAGCTTAATTAATTTTATATTTATTAGTACTCGAATTTGTAACCGCTTAGGTCCCCATTTTTTTATAAAATCCTTATTTTTTATATTTATAATTGATATCTCTAAATTTTGTAATGATACTTTCCATCTTTATAAATAGGACCATAAATTTTTTTTTCAATTCCTCTTTTTATATTTATAATTGATGACTTTAATGTTTTTTCAATCCCTCTTTTTATATTTATAATTGATGACCCTAATTTTTTTCAATTCCACTTTTACTTTTATAATTGAAGCCCCTAATTTAATCAATTTTCTACGATTTATTAATTTAATTTTAAATTAATTGTTCAAGATAATAAAATATACCTTCATTTTATAAAGTCCTATTTTTTAATTTCGCTCAGTACCTTGAAAATATTCGAGACGACTCTAAACTATAATTCCTTTAACTACTGAGATATGTTGATTCGTGCAAAAACGACACTTTGTAACTATGTTAAACTACACTGTCACTATGATTTAAATGCTCCAATTTTTACCCTCTATTATGAACGAAAACAAAATATTTAACTTCTAGGGTAAACTATATGTTTGATACCTAATTTATTACTTTTATTTCATTTTAGTATCTATTTTTTTTTCAAAACTATACCTAACAGCTTACTTTAATACCCTTATAACCTTTTTTAAAAAATATTATTAAGCTCATAATCAAGTGATCTTTTACTATAATTTATCCTAAAATTAACCCACTCAGTTGACTAGATCTGATATAAAAAATCGGTTGTTTCGAAATCCATTAATTGACTAAATGGTTAAAGATATTCATACTATCTCACATCGTATGAATTTGAATCTTAACATTAATTTTTAAAGTATAATAACTCTATTTAATAAAAAAATGGTTGCTTTCATCTTGGTTATTAAGATCGAAGAGGCAGACAATCAAACAGAAAGATTTTCATACTTTTAGAAGGAATCCAAAACTTTCTGAAATTAAATGGAGAGTTTTTTTATATATACGTCATCTAAAATTCAGACTCGTAATTTTATATTTTTGAATATTATTTATTTCAATTAGAATTTAACATTTAAATATTAGAATGTAAAGATGTAGGATTAAAATAAGTAAGATTATAAAGTCTAAACTTTATAGTCGTAGCAAATAGTTTTTTATAATAAAATATTTCAAAATATTAATAAAATATTTCAAAATATAATATTCATTATTAATTTTCAAATACATTGATTTGTTTTTTTTTTCCCAAAGCTATCCACTGGAAAGAAAATTCATATTTTTCGTAATATTTAAAATTCCTAAAATATTTTTTAGACTATATAAATCCATATTTTTATACTTTTCAGTTAGCACATATTATATTCAACATTGACACTTTATCCATAACATAAACATTTCATTCTTACCATCTACATAGCAAGTGAAGTTTTAATCCAAATTTTCATATTCATAGTTTTCAAAGAAAAATACAACAAATCAAATACTAAAAGTAGAAACAAAATGTGTGTCCAGTGCTGCATTTGAATGCATAGGTAGGGGTGTTCAAATTTTTGAACTAATTCGGTTAACCGATCGAACCGAATTAGTTCGGTCGATTAACGGTTAAGAAAATTTTTAAAATTCGGTTAACGGTTAATTCAGTTCGAAATCGGTTAATTAACCGAATTAACCCTTAAATATTTTTTATTATTTTTTTCACCCTATAATATGCTGCCCCCACTTCCTGCTACTCGGTTACCAATTATTTTATGCCTTGATTTGTGTAAGGTATGGGCACGAGTTTGGGCAGGTGGAGCACGCGTTTGACAGCATAGGAACTTGCAGCCATTTCTTGAATGTGTAATTCATTAATCTAAACTTTATAATCTTCCCATAATGCATAGTAGATATATTTGCCTATAATTTCCCTAATGCATCCAAAAGATCAAATAGTGAATGATAGTAGTTCTTAGCATATCTCAGAAGTGGGAAAGATAAAAGATACAGTGCTACAAACATTTCCAACCAGTAGCAGAGTGAACCTTCCTCACCCACATTGCCACTGCATTAGCCCAATCTCGGTCGCCACCCAGGTTTATGCCATCTCCGATCACAACTTTCTTGCCTTCATCATCCACTTCATGTTCAAGAGGCTTGTGCAGTAAGTCCTGCACAAAGGAGCTAGCTATCTTCCTGATTGTAGCATCAGAAAAATCAAGCATTTCACCTAGCAATACTGCAATAGTAGCTGTCGAGTTGCAGTTAGCACAATGCACCATTTATTTTGTAGAATTTCAAATTTGTTGGTTTGTTTGAACTAAATTGATAGATACGAATATCTTATTTTAATATAATGTTTGAATCAAATTAATTAGATATTGTAAACTGATTTTTTAATTAAAAAAATATTAAATTCTAAAATTCTAAAAAATTTTGGTTAATTCGAAAATTAATCAAATTAATCGAAATTTATTCGGTTCGGTTAATATTTTCGAAAAAAGTTTGGTTAATTCGGTTAATGGTAGTTAGATCGGTTCGGTCACCGAATGGACAGCCCTATGCATATGTATAGCATTATAAGGCTGGGGTATATATATTGCTAGATTTAAAACAAAACCTTCGTGAGCAGTATTCTGACAAACATGCACAAAAAGATGAATTTAGAAGCTTTGCTACACATATATATAAGATCTTAATCCCAATTCAAGACCTATGCTACTCGGACTAAGGTGAATGCCGGATATGATTATGTGTCCCAAGACAGATATACTTCAATTTTTCCAAGTTTTCCCTTGTTTTTATAAGAACATATCCCATGCTCGTATTTGAATATTATATGTCAAACATGCATATTTTTAAGAAAAATAAAGAATTCGGATTTTAAATTGGGATCAAATTGCATTATGCCCTTTTTCCCCTACTTCAAAATCCACCCTATTTTTCCCCAGCTCTGGCTTTTCTAGGAAAATATCTTAGAATCCAAGAGGCATTTTGGCAGGATGAAAATGGATGAACATGAGAAGATACTCCAATGATATAGAATACTACCTTCAACCAAAAGAAAAATCCACGTAAGAGACTTAAAACTTTACATGGATCACAACCAAATTCATCGACTTTCGCTTTTAGATCTGCAGGTGTAAAACGTACGAGTAATGAATAAACACGCTTAATAATAACTTGCAGAAACAATCCATTCTATGAGAGCTGCACTTTGAGGAATACCAGACAGCAATCTTGTCATAATAAACATAAAATCTTATTACACGGCAGTGGAAATAACGAAACCAGATAAATAAGAAGAAACACAAATTTTGGAGAACGAATTTGATATTCCAGATCATCTACAACTCAATAGCATTACCAACAAAGGGCAAGATCACATTACTCTTTCTAGACTAGTAAAAATAATTTTGCATCAGGCTTTTAATAGAACTACACAACTTTCTAAAGTATACTTCTAGACAGAGGCAATCAAAGTATACATAACTATAATGCAAAGCACATAAAAGAATCACTCATATTTGTACCAAACAAGGTATGGGTTTCCATCAGTGTTCGTTGAATATAGTTTCGATATTCCTCGACATAACTCTCTAGCACCTTCCACTGGTGTTTTGCTAGTTACTTCTTGCCATTGACTTTCAAACTCATTATGGTCATAGAGAATTTTAAGAACATCCATAAGCTTCTCCCTAAACTGAGACTGAGCAGAAGTTCCGTTGCCATCCCAACTATCTTCGTCAACCTTTTTCGGACAACGCACACATAAAACCAGAAGAACAGTAAAAGGATCAGCAACATGCAAAATTAAAATACAATCATATAATAGCAATTAAAAAAAAACTTTCAATGGCATATAGATAAGGGTAGAACCTATTAAACTGTCTGGGCAGAGAAAAAACTATAATAGACGGAAAAAAAAGATGAAAAGAAAATATGTTTACCAGTGATTGATGACATTTTGATGATACGAACGGAGTATGTTGTCCTTCGTGATAAGGACCATCATCCAATTCAAGTATCTCCAAATCAGAACCACCATCATCATCCGTCTGACGTATACTCGTGTCATCACTTTCATGGCTAAAACTTTCTATATCCTTGCCAGAACTCATCTTCTTAAAAGGCTCTCTACTTTGTTCTCATCGAGTAGCCTCCTCCTTTCTCCACTAGCAGCATTTCTTACTTTATTCTCGTTTCCTTCAACTCCAACTTCGAACATCGCTTCACAGTTTTGGCATCCTAGTCTCTGCTTTCGTCGAAACCCCATCCGAAGTTCCGTGAAACTTAGTCTTTACTCTTTTGGAATCAATCTTAAAATTTCTCTTCCTTTCCGAATTCCTAAAGGACCCTTCTTTGTTTATATACTCAAAAGAGGATGATTCCCCAATCACATTATCATCATAGCCAGGTTTTAGACTACTCATATACATCTCATAATCCGAGTCCAACTCCAACTCCAACTCTTCCATTTCAGTTTCGTTATAATGTTTGCTAAATCCCTTTCTTATTTTCCCCCACTATAACTAACAAAGCGAGGCCTAAAACTTTCCAACATGCTGCGCGACGGATTATCAAACCCTAAATTCACCAAAATACTATCTTCTCACTCATAACATTCAATAATAAAGAAATAGAAACTCTCTTTTTTCGCTCTCAGCCTATAATAAACCAACACTGTACCTGCATTATAAATTTTCTAAACTGAGAGTATATTAGTTAAGCGATAGTTTTCTTTAAGAAAATCGATGAACAGAGTAACAAATAGTAGAAAGAATTCTTAAAACTTTTATGGTGCGTTTGGTTCACGGAATGTAAAGATTATCAGGGGAATGTAAGATTACCAGAGAATAGGATTACTGGGAATGTTGTATTTTGTGTTTGGTTGGTTTAACAGGAATGTAAGATTACCGTGTTTGGTTAAAGGAATAAAAAATTATTGGAATTTATATTTGACTAAATTGTCTTTATTATATATTTGTTTTTTTAACAAGTTGTAAAATATTTATATATATATATATATATATATTTTAAAAATTTAAATTCATAAAATTTATATATATTTTTTTTACAAAATTGATAATATAAAAAGATTTAATGAAAGGGTAAAATTTTATATAAAATTTTATTTTAACCTTTGAACTTCATATAAAATTTTCATTATAGACTTTTTTTATAAATCTAAAATAGTTTAAGGATAAATTTGTAATTCAACTTTCGTAGAATTTTTATTATTCAATGACAGAAGAATAGTATTTTTGAAAGAAAAAAAAATTAAGGGCATTTTAGTCTAAAACGCCGGTAATCCAACAATACCTAAGGAAATAGAGGTAATGACATTCCCGGTAATATATCCAAAAACATCTACTATTGGTAATAAAACATTATCGGGAATGAGATTCCCGGCCAACCAAACATGAGAATGTGGATTCCATTCCTATGGGAATGTGGATTCCATTCCTATGGGAATCCTACATTCCTTGATCCAAACATCCCCTTAGGGTTTTAAAATTTACCTTATTTTAATTTCTCGGTTCTATTCTAAACTTGAAGGCCAAGAGAAAGGGTTAGGGTCAGAAGATTGATTGTCTTGCGATGGCGACGTATGAAAAGAGCTGAGTAGGTTCAGAACTTTAAAAGGAAACTAGAATGTTTTGCCCGCGAAATTGCCGGGCTTCAATCAGCTATCTGTCACGTCCCTTAATTGTAGGGACTATACCAATTTAATCCCTATATTATAAGGATTAGTTCATATTAGTCCTTATATGATATATATTGATTTTAATCCCTATATTATAGGGATTAAATATATATTAGTCCATATATTGCAGGAATTACTATGGCATAATCGGTTTTGGCTGCCATTCCCTCATACGCCATGCAAACATGTTGTTTTCCTAAAAGGTACGTGTGATGAAATTAAATATCTAATTATGGGTTTCATTTAGGGTAGTATCGAAGTCAAAAGAAGCATTCATCTAGTTCGATGGGAGGATGTTTGCGATTGTAAGGAGCATGGGGGCCTTGGTATGAGAAACCGTCCTCACCAAAATGAGGCTTTAATAATGAAAATAGCCTTTCATTTACTGTCTGATAAAAATCAGTTATGGGTGAAAGTGTTGAGAGCAAAATACAAAGTAAGGGATGTTGAGTTGAAAAGTCAAATAAATAAAAAAACTTTCGGTGGGTTTTTTTAACAACATGGGCGGCTGGCAACATGTGCTGCTATTAGGCAGCAATTTTTGATTTTTTAGTAAGGGTAAATTACACTTTAGTCATTGCACTTTAGGATATTTTCAGATTAGTCCCTAAGCTTCAACTATAAATACTCTAACTCATTTAGCTTCAAAATCATCCCAAATCATTTCTTTCTCCCAATACTAGAGAGTTTCTTATGAGTAGTGAGTGTTTTGTAAACACCTATAATTTTTCTCTTTTAGTAAAATATCTGTAGCGGTCCGGAGACGTAGGCATAATTGGCTGAACTCCGTTATCAATTTTGGGTATTATTTTTCCGCTTTTATTTCGCATTCTCACTAATCTGGTTATAGGGAAATTACTCGTACTCGGTTTATTTCCCAACAACTGGTAATCAGAGCTTTTGGTTGTGAATTTTGTCAATTTTTTGCGAGGTTACTATTAATTACTATTCACATGAATAGTGAATTTTATGAATAGTAAAAATTTTGTCGGCAATACGAATTTGTCGACGGAGGTGTTCTAATACAAGGTAGTTCGCAAGAATTGTCAGAAACGATCCAAACGAAGCCAGATTCACGTGGGAACGATGGCTGCAGACGAATGGAATGTGAAAATTGAGAAGTTCGATGGTGCGGACTTTGGCTTTTGGAAGATGCAGATTGAATATTTTCTGTACCAGAAAAATCTATATCAACATCTCTCAGGAAAACAACCAGAGGGCATGAAGAATGAAGAGACTGGGCTCTTCTCGACAGACAAGTCCTCAGAGTTATCCGACTGACGTTATCCCGCAATGTTGCTTTCAAGATAGAAAAGGAAAAGACCACAACGGGTCTTATGACGGCTCTCTCCAGTATGTATGAGAAGCCATCGGCCTCAAACAAAGTTCACTTGATGAGGCGATTATTCAATTTGTGGATGGCGGAAGGGGAATCAGTGGCTCAACACCTGAATGAACTAACACAATCACAACCCAGTAGAGTTCTGTGGAAATTGAATTCGATGATGAAGTTCGAGCTTTAATTCATTTATCATCTCTACCTGATAGTTGGAATGCTATTGTTACAGCAGTTAGCAGCTCGTCGGGAAACAGTAAATTGAAATTCGACAATGTTCGGGATCTGGCATTGAGCGAAGAAATTCGACGGAGAGAATCGGGTAAAGCATCAAGGTCCTCAGCCTTGCACACGGAGTCTAGAGGGAGAACTTCATAAAGAAATTCAAATCGTGGCAGATCGAAATCCAGAAGGGGAAAATTAAGAACATGAAAGAAAGATTTTACCTGTTTTAATTGTGGCAAGAAGTGTCACTTTAATAGAGATTGTCGAGCACTGAATAAAGATACCGGTGCACAAGAATCTGCCAATATGACAGAGGAGACAGGTGATGCCATGATTCTAAGTGTCAACAATCTGATTAAATCATGGATCATGGATTCAGGGGCATCTTTCCACTCCACCCCATTCCAAGAAATCATGGAGAATTATATCAGTGGTGATTTTGGGAAGGTTCATCTGGCTGATGATGAAACCTTAAAGATCGTCGGAAAAGGAGACATCCGATTAAAGTTGCCAAACCAGACCACCTGGAAGCTGACAGGAGTGAGACATATTCCTGGCCTCAAAAGAAATTTGATTTCTGTAGGACAGCTTGATGGAGAAGGTTATAATACAACCATTTCAGGCTGTGAATGGAAGATTACCAAAGGAGCACTCGTCATTGCTCATGGTAAGAAGATTGATACTCTCTATGTAACCTCAAATTTAGAGAATATCATTGCAGTAGCTGATGCTGATGGAAAATCAAACCTATGGCACCAAAGGCTTGGCCATATGAGCAAGAAAGGGATGAAGACACTTTTGTAAAAAGGGAAACTGCCGGATCTAAAGAGTGTAGATGTCGAACTATGCAAGGATTGCATCTTTGGCAAACAAAAGAAAGTCAGTTTTGCAAAGATTGGCAAGACACCCAAGGCAGAAAAGTTAGAGTTGGTTCATACTGATGTGTGGGGACCATCTCCAGTTCATCTCTTATAGGCTCACTATATTATGTCACCTTCATCGATGATTCTACAATGAAGGTGTGGGTTTATTTTCTGAAGCAAAAATCAGAAGTCTTTGATACATTAAGAAAATGGAAGACCATGGTGGAAAATGAGAATGGTTTGAAAGTCAAGCGGTTAAGGTATGACAATGGAGGAACGTACAGAAATAGTAGATTCAGAGATTTCTGCGCAAACAATGGGATCAAGATGGAGACAACAGTTCCCATGACACTGCAACAGAACTTTGAATGAACGTGCCAGAAGCATGAGAATGCATGCCAGATTGCCCAAATTTCTATGGGCTGAAGCTATCAACACTGCAACTTACCTGATCAACCGTGGGCCCTCAGTTCCTTTGGATGGAAGAATACCAGAGGAAGTTTGGAGCAAGAAAGAAATAAACATTTCACACTTAAGAGTGTTTGGTTGTATTTCTTATGTACACATAGACTCTGTTGAAAGAAGTAAACTTGATGTTAAGTCCAACAAATGTGCCTTTGTTGGTTTTGGCTGTGATGAGTTCGATTACCGGTTTTGGGACTATGAAAATTGGAAGATCATCAGAAGTAGAGATGTCATTTTCAATGAAAATGTGATATACAAAGACAGGTCAACCATAGAATCAAGTAACTCCAACACCGAAGCTGAAACAAAGGAATTTGCTTAGTTAGAGGAGATTTCTGGAAATGATGTTCAGATTAGTCCAGAAGCAGTTCAAGAAGAACCAGGCATACCAGAACTGAGACGCTCCACCAAAATTCCTAAACCAACCCAGCTTTATTCGCCTTCTTTGCACTACTTGTTGCTGACTGAAAATGATGAACCAGAGTGCTATGATGAAACAATGTAGGTGGATGATTCAGTCAAGTGGGAGTCTTCCATGAAAGATGAGATGGACTCGCTTATGTCAAATCAAACGTGGGAATTAGCTGAATTACCACCTGGCAAGAAAGCGCTCCACAACAAGTGGATTTATAGGATCAAAGAAGAGCACGATGGGAGCAAACGTTACAAAGCGAGATTGGTTGTCAAAGGTTTTCAGCAAAAAGAAGGTATTGACTATAATGAAATTTTCTCTCCAGTCGTGAACTGTCTACAATCAGACTGGTGTTGAAAATTGTAGCGCAGAGAATCTACATCTTGAGCAGTTAGATGTGAAGACAGTTTTCCTTCATGGTGATTTGGAGGAAGAGATCTATATGAGGCAGCCAGAAGCCTTCATAGAGGCAGACAAGAAAAACATGGTATGCATGTTGAAGAAGAGCTTGTATGGTTTAAAACAAGCTCCTAGACAGTGGTACAAGAAGTTCGATAGCTTCATGAGTAGCAATGGTTTTACCAGATGCCAAGAATATCATTGTTGCTACATCAAGAGGTTCGACAACAGCTTTATTATTTTATTATTGTACGTTGATGACATGTTCGTTGCAGGCTCAGACATGCAAGAGATTATACACCTGAAGCAAAAAATATCGAAGCAGTTTGCTATGAAGGATATAGGCGCTGCAAAGTAGATTCTTGGGTTGAAGATAAAAAAAACACAAAGTCGGGGAATTTGATGTTATCACGGGCTGAGTACATCAACAAAGTACTCTCCAGGTTCAACATGCAAGATGTTAAACCAGTAACTACACCTTTAGGTGTTCATTTTAGACTCTCCAAAGAACAATCACCAAAGACGGAGGAAGAACGTGCACACATAGTGAAGGTGTCGTATGCCTCAGCAATTGGAAGTCTGATGTATGACATGGTTTGCACCTGACCAGATATTGCCAAGAGGGGGTGAATTGGCAATAAAAATTTCGGTGGAAGCTTTTGCAGAAAATTGAAAATATTTGCACAACGATTTAGAGTGGTTCAACTTTCTCAACCAAAGTCTACGTCCACTACCTTAGCTATCCACACTAAGGATTTTCCACAATTCACTAATTTGTCTTTCTTTTGAGGACAAAGAGTAACCTTACAAATCTCTCAAGAATTATACCCCAAATTCTTGAGAACACTCTCTCCCAAAGAGAACAATACAAATTTTGCAAACTTACAAGAAAATCCTCACAAGGCAAGATGTTTGCACAATTCTAGAACAAAGAAAGAACACTCAAGAATAATACAATTGAGGTCAATAAGTGTTCTTGAAAGCAAAAATGAATATTGAATAAAATAGGCTTGAAAATGCTCAAACTTGAGGTTTGATGCTTTCTCTGTGATTCTTGTTGATTGTTGTTTCTTGTTGTTGATCAATGGCTTCTAAGCTTGTTTAAATACTCCTTCAATTGATTCTGAACGTTGGGGATGATTAGTGGAGTCAATGGAGCCGTTTAAGTGTGAAAACAATTAATAAAACTGCATGGAGCGTGGGGGGAATCGGTACCCCCTCATAGGGAATCGATTCCCTTAGTGTAAAATTCAAATATTTCGACCATTAAATAGGGGGAATCGGTACCCCCTTGGGGGAAATCGGTTCCCTCCGAGCATTCTTTTATTTCTCGGAGCCAAACCATTCAGGGGAGAATCGGTACCCCCTTGGGGGGGAATCAGTTCCCTCTGGGCAATCTGCCCATTTTGGTTTATTTTAATTAAGAAATGATTTTTGACTCGATTAAGGCTCGAAATACTTTGTAAATTTGTTTAACATATTTTTGCACTTTAGTAAGGATTAAAAAGAATTTTGAAAGACTTAGAGTAATATTTTGATATTCGAATAATTATATAGAATATACTTTAGAAAACCTTTTGTAAAATCTTAAAATTCATTTAACTTAATTTGTTATATCGAAACATCAAAATGTTTTCAACAATCTCCCCCTTTTTGATATAACAAAACATTTTAGTAATTTTAAGATTTTCTAATAAATTTTGAAATCGGTTTTGAAATTACTCCCCCTTACTATAACACTTATCCCCCTTTTTGTTAAATCAAAAGGACTCTAAAACATTTTTAAACAAGGTTTTGAAAAATTAGTCAATTAATATTTAAGCTGCTAAGATCACAATCAAGAGAAGATGTTAGCCATTAGTTTCATAATCAATATTCATAAACGAATGTGAAATGGTGAAATTGGTCATATATCTAAAATGATGCACAAAATTAAAATTGAAGCAAATCCACATATAAGTTCAAATCATCCATAACATCCAAAACATAAATCCAAACATATAAGCATCCAAATTCAAACATCCAAAATGTTAAAACAATACTTTCTAAGTCTCATCTAAGTGAAGTAAAGAACAACAAGAATCAAACATCCGTAGGAGGATTGGGAGGAGGAAAATGAGCTCGCATAACGACCATCTCATGTGTGAGCGCATCAATACGTTCATTGATAGTGGCGTTGTTCGCGCGCATCTCTCGAAGAATTTCCAATTATTGAGCTCCCATTATAAATAAATGAGACTCTATGGAAGTGAAGCGTGAATACATGGATGTATATCAGAAATCAAATGTCTCCATAAAGGATTGAAAATATGGAGGTATTTGATCCTCTAGTCATGCTTGTTCTTCGTGCTACTCCGGCTCATCGTCAGCGTCGTCAGCTTTCGGAGGTTGCTCTTCAGTACGAACCCATATACCAATCTCTTCATTGATCTTCCATCCCGATTTAGTTAAAGAAAATAGATTGATTTGATTTTTGAGTGGAAAAGTGGCATCAAGACCAACCTTAAGCTCAGCTTTAGAAAACAAATTACTCAGAATACAACCGTAAACTAGAGATGAACAGAGTTTCTTATTAGGAACAAGATTTACGGTTTCGATAATTTCAGCAAAGATAATCTGAGGTAGGTTGATTTTAAGATTATTTTGGACACAATGTAGCCAAAATAGATCCAAGGCTCGAAGAGTGGAGTAACGGCCTCCGGATGGTCGAAACCACCAAGAGATCATAAGATGAAAGAAACGATCATAGAGATCTAGGACACACAATATGCCTTCGTTTATACTGAGAACCTACCGTTTGTTTTTCATTTTCTAAGCTGTCGTTATCTAATCCTAATGCGGTGGCTATGTATTCCAGGCCAATATAAAAGAATCGTCCTAGAAGATAGGATCGAATTCCTATAGTTGCAGTTTTATCCCGGTTTTGGATGCAAACAGCATTAGAGTAGAAGATACGAACAAGTTGGTGATAAACTATTGCTTCAAGTTCACAAAGTTTATCAAATTTCCACTCTCTAACGGTATAAAGATATCTAAAATTAATGTCTAACATGGCTTGAATAGATGGGATTCGTTCTTCCCAGATTTTATAAGACTCAAAGTATTGAGAATACCTAAAGAGTAGATTTTGTCTACGACCTGGTTCATTGAAGCACGAATTAAGAATAGTCATAAAAGGATCATCGGGATTGGGATTAGGAATTTGTTGGATAGGAGGTGGATTTTGAGGTTGGTTTGGTGGTTGGCTAGATCGACTAGAGGAAGATCTAGAACATTTGTGAGACATGACGTAAGATAATTGGAATGGAAAGAGTAACCTGCAATTTAAAAACACATGCATGCAACAAATATCAATCCCAAAACTCAATTGAGTTCGCAATATTTCAAGGTTCTCTAAACCGAATCCTAATAGGCAAAGTTTTGAAAAAATTATGTTTGAAAAACAAGTTTTGAAAATTAATATGCGTATAGTTTTCATAGTAACAACATAATTAAATCAAAAACACACATTTTGAAATTAATTAAAGATTTTCATTTTTTTATTTCGAAAATTCAAAAATCAGTTGAAAATTTGTGAGATTTTGATGAAATTAGTTGTAAACTTTAGTTTATAAACATCAAATAATCAATGCCCGATATATATTTTAACCTAGAACTAATTAAAACTAGTCTTAAAATCAAAATTTTATAAAATAGAAGTTTTAGAAAAATACCCTGAAGATTTTCGGATTTGAGTGAGATTGGATGAAGTTTGCACGATTTTAATGATTCTAGCATGTTTATGAGATGAAATATGATGAAATTCTTACTAGAAATCGTTGTTTTGAAGCAATGTGGAGATTTGGGGAGATAGAGAGGTTAAACGGTGTGAGAAGAAGAGAAGAGAGGGTTTGAGAGAATGGGGTTCTTCTGGCATTTAAAAACCAGAACCCGTGGGGGGTATCAATTCCCCTGGGGGGAATCGGTTCCCCTTCAAAGGGGGAATCGGTTCCCCTTCAAGGGGGTATCGATTCTCTCTGCACCAAAATGCTAAAAATCTGATATTAAACACTCAAAATGTTCAATTAATTTGTTCTAGTGGTATTGGCAACTCATATATTGAAAATTAATCATATTCAATCAATCAAATTTATCCTTAAACTGCATTTGAACATAAAATTAATTTTTACTAAGAATCATAAACTCCCCCTAACTAATAGCAAAGAATGCAATCAAAAATTATTATTATTATTATAAGTATTTTTTATTTATTCTTAAAAGTGCTAAAATAGATTTAAACACTAAGTGAAGATAGGTCAGTTAAACCTAATTCTCTCCTAAGTGTCCAAAATCTTTCTTTGTCTAAAAGTTTTGTAAATATATCCGCTAATTGGTGCAAATTATCAACAAATTCTAGAACTACATATTCCTTAGCAACATGGTCTCTAATTAAGTGATGTCTAATTTCAATATGCTTAGTTCTAGAGTGTTGGATGGGATTTTTAGTGAGACAAATAGCACTAGTATTGTCACACTTGATAGGAATGGTACCTATTTCAATTCCATAATCAAAAAGTTATTGTTTCATCCATAAAACTTATGCACAACAACTACCGGCTGAAATATATTCCACTTAAGTGGTAGATAATGCAACACAATTTTGTTTCTTTGAAAACCAAGAAATCATCACATTTCCAAGGAATTGGCAAGTACCAGAGGTGCTTTTCCTATCTAATTTGCATCCTCCATAATCCGCATCAGAAAAGGCATGCAAGCTAAAGCTATAGTCTCTAGGATACCAAAGTCCTAAACTAGGAGTGTCCTTAAGGTATCTAAAGATTCTCTTAACAGCTAGTAAATGTGATTCCTTAGTACATGATTGAAATCTTGCACATAAACAAACACTAAATATAATATCCGGTCTACTTACGGTTAAATAAAGCAAAGAGCCAATCATTGACCTATATAATTTAACATCCACACATTTATCTCCTTCATCTTTGTCAAGCTTTGTATATGAGCTCATTGGAGTGTCATGAGGTTTCCCATTTTCCAGTTCAAACTTCTTGAGCATATCCTTGACGTACTTAGCTTGATTGATGAAGATGACATCTTTTCTTTGCTTTATTTGGAGTCCCAAGAAAAAAGAGAGTTCCCCTATCATGCTCATATTGAATTCACTTTGCATTAGCTTAGAAAATTCTTGGCAAAGAACATCATTAGTAGAACCAAATATTATATCATCAACATAAATTTGTACTACTAATAAATCTTTACCTTTATGCTTTAAAAACAATGTAGTGTCAACCATCCCTTTTGAAAAACTTTTTTCAATTAAAAAATTTGACAATCTTTCATACCAAGCTCTAGGAGCTTGTTTTAAACCATAAAGAGCTTTTGTCAATTTAAAAACATGATCTGGAAATTTTGAATCTTCAAAACCAGGAGGTTGTTCCACATACACTTCTTCTTTTATAAAACCATTTAAAAATGCACTTTTAACATCCATTTGATATAATTTAAATTCATTGAAACATACAAATTCTAATAACATTCTAATTGTTTCCATCCTAGCTACGGGAGCGTATGTTTCATCATAGTCTATGCCCTCTTCTTGAGTATACCCTTGAGCAACAAGTCTAGCCTTGTTTCTCACTATATTACCACTTTCATCAAGCTTATTCCTAAATACCCATCTAGTACCTACAATATACTTATTACTATGCCTTTCAACTAATGTATATACTTTACTTCTCTCAAATTGATTTAACTCTTCTTGCACAGCCATAATCCAATGTTCATCATTTAATGCTTCTTTAATATTCTTAGGCTTTATGCATGAGATAAATGCAATATAATTACAAATATTTCTAACAGAAGATCGAGTTGTTACCCCTTTGGATGGATCACCTATTATTTCACCATCATTGACATAGTTGTATTCCCTTGGGTAAGAGACTTCCCTTTCTTCAATGGTTGGATTCTCGAGAGGATCTTGAGTTTCCACATCTTTCGTTTCTTCCTTTGATGATGGTTCTCCAACGTCATGTCCAACGTTATTTATGTTTATAATACCTACATCATCATTCACACAATAATCCTTCGTCAGAAGGGGATTATCATCGAAAACAATATGTATAAACTCTTCTACAACTAAATTTCTTTTATTAAATACTCGATAAGATTTAGAATTTAAGGAATAACCTAGAAAAATTCTTTCATCACTTTTAGCATCAAATTTGCCAAGATTGTCTTTATCGTTGTTTAAAACAAAACATTTACATCCAAAATGATGAAAATAACTAATATTAGGCTTTTTATTTTTAAAAAGTTCATATGGAGTTTTCTTCAAAATAGGCCTAATCATTACTCGATTAATAACATAACAATCGGTATTTATGGCTTCCGCCTAAAAATATTTTGGCAAATTATTTTCACAAAGCATGGTTCTAGGCATTTCTTCTAAAGTTCGATTTTTCCTCTCAACAACTCCATTTTGTTGTGGGGTTCTAGGTGCTGAAAAATTATGGCTAATACCATTAGAATTACAAATTTCAGTAAATCCAAGATTTTCAAATTCAGTTCCATGATCACTCCTAACACTAGTTATAGAGTAACCTTTTTCGTTTTGGATTACTTTTGAAAACGTGATAATATTTTCTAATGCTTCATCTTTAGTACTTAAGAATAGAACCCAAGTATATCTAAAATAGTCATCTGCCAATACAAATGCATATTGTTTTCCACCCAAGCTAGTAGTTCTAGATGGCCCAAAAAGATCTAAATGGATCAATTGTAATACTCTACTAGTGGATACGTCGTTAATGGATTTAAAAGAAACTCTCTTTTGTTTTCCTTTAGCACAAGCATCACAGATTTTATCATTATCAAATTTTAGTTTAGGCAACCCTCGAACTAAATCTCTTTGAATTAACCATTGCAAAACACTTATATGAGTATGTCCTAATCTCCTATGTCATAACCAACTATCATGCTCATCCTTAGCAACTAGGCATAAATTAGTCATATCTATAGAATCTAAATACACCATGTAAATGTTTCTTATTCTATGACCAACAAGAGTAATCCGATTAGATGCAATGTCAATGACTTTACAACCATTAATATCAAACATGACTTTGAATCCCTTATCGCACAATTGACTAATACTCAATAGATTATGCTTTAATCCATTCACATATAAAACATTATTAATTTGTATGGAAGAGGTATTACCTATAATGCCTATACCTTCAATGTGACCTTTTGAGTTATCACCAAAAGTCACCTCTCATCCATTTTTGGCGTAGAGCTCTATGAACCAGCTTTTGTCTTCGGTCATGTGTCTTGAGCATCCACTATCGAGGTACCATGAGTTTGAGTTTGTTTCCCGTGCCTTGTAGCAATGCTCCTTTTCCTACAAACATAGATTAATTTTTGATTTTTGGTACCCAAATTCTTTTGGGTCCATATTCATTAGTTTCCAAAATCCTAGTCCCCTTAGGTATCCATTTGTGTAGGATATCCTTATCTTTAGTAGTAATGAGTTCTTTAGGAACACATATACTTCTAACGATTTTTCCATTAGAGGTTCTTCGGGGACCTCTATAATTGTAGTTTTTAAAACTTTTTCTAACAAAGTTGGATTTTGAATTTTCTCCATTTTCAAAACGTTTTGTTCAAACTTTATCAAAAGAAGCTTTAAGATCATCAATTTTCTTTTGATGATCATCATTGACCTTTGAAAGTAAATTTTGCAAATCAAAATTTTTCTTTTCAAACGCTTCTAGTTTGATTTGCAAATTTTTTATTTTACTTTCAAGATCATTGTTGGTTTTGGACATAAGACTATTTTCATTTTTTAATTTTGAAATATCATTTTTGTATTTTGAAAATAAAGTCTTATAATCCGAAGCCAACCCATTATAATCGTCTAATAACTCATCATAAGATAATTCATCCAAATCGAATGAGTTAGAGGTTACCTTAGAATCTTTCCCGAATGTCATCAAGCACAAGTTTGCTACTTCTTGTTCCTCTTCATCGGAACCTTCTTCATCGCTCCATGTAGCTACATGAGTCTTGTGCTTCTTCTTTGATTGACCTTTTTTCTTCAATTGAGGGCAATCATATTTGACATGCCCCGGCTTTTTGCATTCATAGCAAATGATTGGGTCATTCTCCTTTGGTTCATTTTTGAAGTCTTCATTTCGTTTGAATTTTCTTTCTCGGTTTGGCCTCATCAATTTTCTGAACCGTTTGGCAAATAATGCCATTTCCTTGTCATCTTCATCTGAATCACTCTCATATTTTGTGGATTTGAGAACAACTCCAACGTTCTTCTTCTTTTCTTTCTCCTTTGGTTTCTCATCAATCTTATCGAGGTCTACCTCATCTTGAAGCATCATTTCATGAGTGAGGAGTGATACGATTAGTTCTTCAAGGGTTAAGGACTTTAAGTTCTTAGCCTCGATAATTGTCGTCTTCTTTGATTGCCATGATTTTGAAAGTGGGTAAACCAACTTCCTTACAAGCTTTTCATTTAGAATGATCTCTCCATATGATTTGAGACCATTGAAAATCGTTGAAAATCTATCCATCATAGCTTTGATATCTTCATCCGGTTTCATCCTGAAATTTTCATAGCTGTGAGTTAGAAGACTAATTTTAGATTCTTTTACCTCGTCGGTGCCTTCATGAGTGACTTGTAGTTTGTCTCATATCTCTTTGGCGGTTGTACAAGATGAAACTCTCCCATATTCATCTGGTCCAAGAGCACAAAA